ATAATGATGACGACGTTCAACTAAGTTAAAAATCTCACAAAATTAGTTAAAAATAAATCTCATTCAATTTAATAACCGGAAATAAACAATAAATTATGTAAGATAGAAGGCAATGATATGCAAAATGACCATTTGGAAGCATATTACTAATTTATTAGGAAAAATAACTATACTATATGCGATATAAAAGCAATTTCCCACTTGTTTTCCATTAATATTGTTCCCTAATTCCGCTTTCAACCCGTAACTAATCCCCAAATCATGGAAAACTAGTCCTAACTCGCCGCCAATCCCTCGAAATCTGACAAAATTACCCATAAAAATCTGTTTCAACTCACGAAACAGATCCTGAATCTCTCTAAATTCTAATTCTCTTAGAATTCTTTAATGCCTAAAGGAGGTTAGGCGGTGTTTGAGGTGAATTTGAGAGTGAATTTCTGTGGTTCCCGGTAGCTTAGTCGGTAAGAGTGCCCGGCGCGTATCTGGGAGACCCGGGTTCGATTCCCGGCTGGGTGAAGCGGAAATTTTTTCTCTCTAAATTCTAATTCTCTTAGAATTTTTTTTATTTTATTTTTTTTATCCCTTTTAGGCATCTTTCCACACCTCTTCCACTCCCCCCTCCCTCACCCCCTTCCGACTGACCCACCATAATAAATCCCCCTGTCCATCGAAATCACGACTGCAGATGTAAAAACCCAAAGGGTTTATCCCCGCCCCATCCTGATGAATATGACGTGCACGCAACGCTTGCTGACTCCATGTCAATGCACACGCATTTGCATATCAATACATTTGAAATATCCATTTTCCCCTCGATTTGACTTAAGCGCCAGTCCGCCTGTCAGACTGATGTGAGTGCCCTCTAAATATAGCATTCAGATTTTGCCAACATCAGTTTGATCATTTCATCAAGAAATTTCATCTCCAACGAATCCATGATTATATTGACGTTTACCGTTTTCGGGAGATTGTAGAATCATTTTCTTCATTTCTCAGCTATCCGATTATTCACCACTCAATAGGGGAGTGTGGGGTAAAATGGACACTTTTGACTTTTTTAAAAATGTTAATGACAGGTTGAATTGTTGGTGAGATGTTTTTTTTTTATTTTTCAGTAAAAAGAACAATTCTTTCCCTTTGTGTTGAGCCTGAACTGATTTCAATTGATGAAGCTGTCTGTGAGTTATAAATATTTCTTTAAATATCAAGTGTCCATTTTACCCCACCCTCCCCTACACAGTAGCCGCAGCCGATTAGAGGATTAAAATCATTTTCTATAAATATTCAATTTTTATGAATAAAGTTTATATTCATCGATGTTAGTCTTTTGCTATGCTGTTAGATTTTTTTTTAATTTCATGGAAGATATTATAGTAAATCTCATGGGAGTGATATTGAATCGAATATAAAGAAAATGGTTATGAAGTTTCAAGTTTTAAGTAGAATTCACGGAAAATCATGAGTTTTCCATGGGAGTGATATGGAAATTTCACAACTTGATTGAATTTTCACTGGAACATGAATATTCAGAAATAAAATGACATGATTGTTCAATTTTTCCCTGAATTTTTCTGATTTTTCTGAATTTGCAGATTTATTGAACTGAAAAATCAAGTTCTTTATTGATTTCCAGATCATTCGAACCGATAAGCAATGGAATATTTGATTTTTCAATGAGAATATTTCTTGAAATTTCAATGGAACTTGAACACAATCAAAATTTCCTGAATTTGGCACGGAAAATTCAGACGAAAATTCGAAAAGCTCATGACGGTATTATGTAACTTGATAAGCAATGATGTTATTCTCAGTATTTTTCTACTTGATTAAGAAGGCATTGAAATATACTATTCATCACGCTGCGAGGAAAAGTGAACTTTTCGGCACGCTCCGTGTGCCTAAAAGTCAAATTTCCGCCACATTGTGATGAAAAATATTGTTCGTAACTCCTGAAAAAATTAGCTCGTGGGATTATATCACTCGCCTTCGGCTTGTGCGATAAACCTCCCACTCGCCAAAAAACACTTTTTTGCACTCGTTACGAAATATACTATTTCAAGCAAAATCACGCAAAAGCCGATTTTCATTCAAATCGCATAAACAATGTGCTGTAACTCAATAACGAATTGTGCGACCCCCATCATATTCTGACAGAATCAAGAGAGTATTGTTATCAATTTTTTGAGCCATGCCTAATTACCTTTTGATGACAATTTTTTGAGTGATCGTTGAAAAATCAATTTTGTAAAAAATGTCAATTTTTTCGAATCTGTATGAAAAATTCAGTTAATTTATGAGTCAGTTATAAGTCAATTTTGACTATTTGCCAGTTTTCGATGAATGTCTCGGAATCTAAGGGAGATAGAACAATTTTTGTTATAACCTTTTTTGTAGAGCCGATTGAAAGCTACAACAAATGTTATTACGAAAATTTCACTATTTCTCTTAGATTCGGAAATATTAATCAAAAACTCAACTGCGAGATAAGTCGACTTAAACCGTTTTACCACTTCGCTACTGAATTGAATTTTAATTGGCGCCCATGAATACAGCTTATTAATTTATTCGTCTTTTATACATCTCTTTCCACTATCATATTCGTTCTCATATTCTTACTTGAGCTGCTCTGGTGCTGGTGCACTATTTCCTATAATTTTTCAAATACTTTGGCGTACCTACATAGATCTGCATTTAGAGTCTGCACCCCCCTTTAGTCTCTCTAATTTTATGCATTAGTTGCTCACCTGACGGTCTCTCCCTCCAGGCATCAAGTCCTTTTACGCGACTTGTCTCGATTTATTCCCTTGCGTTTTTGCAGACCCTTACGTACTCTATAGTGACTCCATCTCGATTTTACAAACTCTGCATTTTAAATCTGTGTGCCCCTTATTCCCCACTTTTCTCACTGTTCCTTCTCCCAGTTTTTGAATTGTTTGTTTTTCCAATAATTTGCTTCAGCGCTGGAAGGCTTCCCAAACCATTTATACTGTTCCCAGTATGTAGACGATTCAATTCTCGCTGTATCTCTAGCTATGTCTAGTCTGTTTCTCTTCTAGCATGTTCTCCATTAGTTCTTCCACTTTCGATAATTCTTCGTCGTCCCAAACGTACTGTACGAGAGCATCTCCCTGAACTTCCTGAATAACTTCCTTGATGGTTCTTCTCATCCTTGTTGGGTTGCCATTTAGTAAAGCAAAAAAACATTTTCATCACGCTGTGCGAAAAAATAACTTTTTCATCACGCTGTGACGAAAAGTGAACTTTTCGGCAC